TCAGCAGAGATTTATATGTAGAGATGTGAGTGCCCTATAGTAATCACAGTATCTGTCTGTCTGTCTGTCTGTCTGTCTGCCCACACTGTTGATTCTGGAGATTATTTCCGAAACTGAAAGACTGACCTTTTTGAAATTTGACATGGTGATACACTGTGTTATGTAGATGTTTAACATTTATTTTAATGATCAAGTTTACTGTTGAATAAAATAGACCCTGGGAGTAAGGTCCTGATCTCCTAATCCAAAATTCGAAACATTTTGAAATTTGACATGGGGATACACTGTGATATGTAGATGTGCCATAGGGGTTTAAAATTTGTTTAAGGTCAAGGTCACTTTTACACTGTTACTAAAAGTAAACAAAAAAAAACAGGGGGAGGGGAGTATGTTGCTCAGGAACATGGCAGGGCCCTTGCTGTCCAGTTAATGTTTGCAAAAGAGTCGCATAATCACATATCCAGCATATTAATTCTGTGAATCTCCTTAGTCAGTGTCTGTTACTAAATCCAATGTCTAGATATGTGGGACAGTAGGATCAGTGTAGGCAGGATTAACTAGGTACGATGTTATCATCTAATTAAATTATCCCAAATATCTGTTGATAAATAATTCTCCTAATGAGAACTGACATGGTTTTATATTTTGTATGTACTTTTTTCTGATAATAATGATGTCAACATTAAATCAGGTCAGACTGTACTTCAGACTTAACTGTTAAAATATACAGTGAAATAGCTCCAACAGGTTTATTTTCAAATAAAAGATTTAAGACTTAAAAAAGAAAGAGGCACAGGGACAGTATTTAAACTTAACTGCTCCAGCCTTTCTAAATACCTCCTACATATCTCCTACATACTGTTCATGGTGAGAATATATTACGTCACTGTCTCTCCAGTACAAAGCTGTCAATTGACGAAGTACCGGTTTAACCAGATTTCAAAGCTTGTCTGAAGTTCTTTTCACTGCAGATTCCAGATAATTACCTTTCATCAGCGATCTCTACCTGTAGAAGTTTTTTTTATCAAGAACACCATCAGCTGTTGTCCTCACTCAAGTACCCGGTGATGTTTTGTCTTCTATTTACACGATTCACACATCCCGCCTACACCTTGTGTAAAGTCAAGGGGAAAGATATATCAGTGTCTGGTCAACTTTATCTGTCCTCTCTACTGTAAAGTCTAGGGGAAAGTTATGTTAATTCATTGTCAACTTCACCCATCCCCTATATATTGAAGTCTATGGGAAAGTTAAATTAATGTATGGTCAACTTCATTTGTCCCCTTTACTGTAAGGTAAGGTCCATGAGAAAGTTACATTAATGTATGGTCAACTTCATTCATCCCCTTTACAGTCTCCTCTACTCTAAAGTTTACGGGAAAGTTACATTTATGATGGTCAGCTCCATTCGACTCCACTTCTGTAAAGTCTAGGGGAAAGTAATATTAATGTATGGTCAACTTAATCCGTCTCCTCTACTGTCAAAAAAAAGAAGGGAAAACTAAGTTATTTGTTGGTCAATATCATAATCTGTGAATGAATAACCCCAAAAGGATTAAATACCACTTGACAATAAGTGAAATAGTTTCAATTTATGTGCTATTGTACAAAAATGTAATTCACAAATGTTTTTATTTATTCATGATTTTCTAATTAGGCACATTCTTGTGGGATGACTTAGAGAAAATGTTTCATGTTTGTCAATGGTGGGTGATTCAGTCTTCTTGATATATGGCTTTGGTTGATGTGATATCAAAACTTGTTTTATTGTAATGAATATTCCATTCTCGAGGCTGAAGTATTGAATCATTCATATTTAAATATGTGTCATTGAGAATCTATTTCATTTATAATATGGATTGAAGTCAGTTGACATTTCTCATAGTTTTCTTTGAATACTTTGTGGTTTTCCTATGGTTTTCAGTGGTTGGTTTTTAAGCATACTCAACTCATTCCCCCCTGAAGACACATTTGAACTCTTCTAATTCAAAGATTGTAATAGTTTATTACGAATTTCCAGGGGTGATTGAATTAATGGAAACATGAATGGTGAAAACATGATCAAAATAGACATTCACAAAGCTATTCAGTAGAGGTGTTAGTTTTGAAATACAGCATAGATTTGCCAATAGAAGATAGATTTGTAAATATACCGTAAATGAATCCTTTGTGATAGAAACTAATCGAGATTAAAATGTACCCTAGTTCCAGTATTCTAATACAAATATAGACTATAGGGTTTTATGTGACCTTAAAACAGCTAACATATATATAAGGCATACCTGTAATAGGTGTATTATTATTAAAATGCCTACCTGTAACGTCCTACCTGTAGTGACCTACCTGTAGTGCACCAAGCAGATCTTGTACACTTGTGACATGCCGAGGTCTAATACAATGGGCGGTTCAGTGGAATCAAAATATAAACGTACATGAATTACCTATAACATGACAAGGTTATGAATAAAGTTTGGCTCCAGACATTATGTACACATATTGGATAGATTGAATTTCAAATTCATTAAATAATATATCTGTTTGATATATCTGGCTTATAAGGAATACATGTATAATTTTTGAATGTCCGCATTTAAGTTGATTTAATGTCTGCTTAATACTTGGAGCTAACTGTGCAATATATAAAGCAGGTTTGTTGGTTTGTAAGCTTGCATAGAATCTAAATATTTGTGAAAGGGAATTCAATTTAATCTTCCACAATAACTGGATCTTATTCTACTAGTTTCTAACCATATTTTGCTTCAAATCTGGAATATTGCTTATTATGTGTATTGACTGAGAAGAGATGATACTTACTATTGAGAAACCTTGTATCGTACAATGAAGCTGTTACCATTTCTTATGGGGGAATAGATACGTAAAGACAAAGGGGGTATATTTTATACAAGGCAGTATCTATTTCTTAAAATGTTTGTTTGCATTTTTTACAGAATTTTTATTAAATGATCATAAGCATGAGATATACTAGTTAAGGCCAAAATACAATACCAAGATGTCAGACACTGAAAAAGATGCCGAAGGAAAGGAAATTAATGTAGATGATGTTCTTGGTGAGTTGCGGGATATTTTACGCCAAAAATACACAGACACAACGGACGATGATGACACGAGTTCGGTGTCATTTGGTGTGGGTGATACAGGTTCATCTGTGTCCGCTGCTTCCACTCCACGAAAATCGCCCGCACATTCTGCAGTCTCTGACTCGACCGTCTCCAACATCTCATCAGTGCCGGAGAAAAAGGATGTTGCTGATTCTGAAGACTCGGGAGTGATGGTGAAAAGTATTACAAATACTGATGGAGAAAATTCAGAGGTGTCAAAAGTTGATACTGACAACAAAAGTTCTAACCCACGGTCATTACCAGCTCATTTAGATTTATCTATCAGCTGTTTCAGCAACCGGACATCCTCCCCAACTTCACCTCAAAGTCGAACACTAAGTCCTGTAATGGCTCAACCAATTATATTTAAGACTTCTATTAAGAAGGATCCTGGTTCAAAACTTCAGGATCAGCTAGTCAAAGAGCTAAATATGGTGCTAAAAAAACGAAGCAATGTTGATCGAGCTCCTAGTGTCAAGGAGGACGGCAAAGGTGATGTGAACTTTAACCAAACCAGAAACAGACCAACAAAAAAAGTGTTTGCAAATAAAGCATTACTAGCAAATTTGGAAAATCATTTTGCAAGTCGAACATTAAAAGATCGAATGGAGAAACAGAGACAGAGCATTCAAGAGTATGAAAAGTCTGCAGAAAATTTGCCAAAATCGCCACCATCAGAAATGACGTCGTTTGAAGATCACTTAACTCAGATGTTGAGAAAACGTCTTGAAAAACAGTCAGAAACAAAACCACCTCCTGATCATGATATTAGTCAGACACTTAAAACTCGAATGGAAAAACAAAGACAGAGCATTCAGGAGTACGAGGATACAGTGGCACAAAATCCTAGATCCCCTCCCTCTGACTTCGCAATGTCCTTTTCATTTAAAGGCTCAACTGGCCACCTATCTTTATCAGGTGAATCAGAAGCTTCTAACGAGTCAGATATTGACAATAGAACTGTCACAGAACGAATATCTGTATTTCAAAAGAGGGAAGACTTGAAAAGAAAAAGGCGTAGTACTACTTCAAGTAATGCATCACTGCACAGTTCAGGAGGAAACTTAATTAAAGATTTACGCATAGGGGCCACAAACTCAAATAATGACAATGAGAAACAAGTGACAATTTATAATGTAAGGCCTACAGACGGAATGTTGTATAGTGTTCAAGTGCAGTCGTCCTCAGATCAGCCAAGGGAGACAACTGGGAAACATGTGTCCTACATAAATATCTCGGGTAAGTGATCAGAAGTGGTCATTCAGGGGAGATAACTGGCTTGATTTTCTCAGAGAAGTTTTGAAAAATGGAACATGATGGTGAATATAATGGGTTATTGAAGGATATGAAAATAAACTTGTAACCAGCAGGTAAGTTCTTGTTTCTACAGAACACTATAGATGTCTGATGATAAGTTGTCGAAGCATAGCAGAAGCTTCATGAAATATTCCTGTTATCTTTCCCATTTTAAATTGATTCTAATTACCGGTAATGTTTTATGATTTTTTTTTATTAACCAAATATTTTGTGATCATATTTGAAGTAAGCTGTATTATGCATATGATCATATCCAATAATAACAGTTTTTGTAGAATGGTGTTGTTGAATAGCATTTTTGAGAATCATTAATATGATAATATTATAATACAATTGTATTCTATAATAATGATATTATTTGTGGTGCTCTGTATGTGAAAATCCACACCCTGGTTTCAAGACATAAACATTGCTCAACCAGGGCATGAATGGCTTTTGACAAAATGGATCTTTGTTTTTAATAAGGTATGAAAATAACCTGATCGATGAGAGGTAAATACAGCATCAGTGCATTTCTGATTTTTCTAAATGTTTTTTTTTGTAATATTATTTTGTCTGTTACAGGCTGTCCGTTTATCCAGAACATTGACGAGGGAGGTCTCCCCACAGCCGACGGAGATGGACTGTTCCGTGGAGAAGAGGACAATGTGGCCACATTTTACGTTGATGTCGGGAAGAGGAGGGGAGAACTGGGAGTACAAGTTGATGGTGAGCTATCTGATAATGCTGTACCAATACTGTAATATGTTAATAAGAGTGGTGGGGATCTTATCAAACTGAAGTGACTTATGACCCTACCAATATATTACATGGTTTTTATATATGTGATATATACGTCTCTGGTTTTAACCTCATCTTTCTTTTCTATAGAATGTCTATTATAAACAGTAATATTTTTGTCTTCAGCTTGTTTTAAGATATTGAAATTATTTTATCCTTTTTTCAGGCCCAAACTCCATTGCCAAGACAACAATAGAGCCTTCAGGTGACCGGTACGTGTGTACTTACGTCCCTGTAGAGGTGGGCGTGTTCAATCTACAGCTCCAGTGGAATGGCAAAAACATCCCAGGTATGTCAGTACATCTATTATAGCTCCCGACAAGTCACCAAAAACATCCCAGGTATGTCAGTACATCTATCATAGCTCAGGATAAGTCACCAAAATATGACTATATCTATTATAGCTCACAACAAGTCACAAAAAACATCCCAGGTATGTCAGTAAATCTATTATAGCTCACGACAAGTCACCGAAAACACCCCAGGTATGTCAGTACATCTATTATTGCTCACAACAAGTCACCAAAAACATCCCGGGTATGTCAGTACATCTATTATAGCTCCCGACAAGTCACCAAAAACATCCCAGGTATGTCAGAACATCTATTATAGCTCACAACAAGTCACCGAAAACATCCCAGGTATGTCAGTACATCCATTATAGATACAACAAGTCACCAAAAACATCCCAGGTGTGTCAGTACATCTATTATAGCTCACGACAAGTTACTAAAAACATCCCAGGTATGTCAGTATATCTATTATAGCTCACGACAAGTCACCGAAAACATCCCAGGTATGTCAGTACATCTATTATACCTCACAACAAGTCACCAAAAACATCCCGGGTATGTCAGTACATCTATTATAGCTCATGACAAGTCACCAAAAAGCTCCCAGGTATGTCAGTACATCTATTATTGCTCACAACAAGTCACCAAAAACATCCCGGGTATGTCAGTACATCTATTATAGCTCATGACAAGTCACCAAAAAGCTCCCAGGTATGTCAGTACATCTATTATACCTCACAACAAGTCACCAAAAACATCCCAGGTGTGTCAGTACATCTATTATAGCTCACGACAAGTTACTAAAAACATCCCAGGTATGTCAGTACATCTTTTATAGCTCACAACAAGTCACCAAAAAAATCCCAGGTATGTCAGTACATCTCTTATAGCTCACGACAAGTCACCAAAATATGACTATATCTATTATAGCTCACAACAAGTCACAAAAAACATCCCAGGTATGTCAGTAAATCTATTATAGCTCACGACAAGTCACCAAAATATGACTATATCTATTATAGCTCACAACAAGTCACCAACATATAAACATCCCAGGTATGTCAGTACATCTTTTATAGCTCACAACAAGTCACCAAAAACCTCCTAGGTATGTCAGTACATCTATTATAGCTTACAACAAGTCACCGAAAACATCCCAGGTATGTCAGTACATCTATTATACCTCACAACAAGTCACCAAAAACATCCCAGGTGTGTCAGTACATCTATTATAGCTCACGACAAGTTACTAAAAACATCCCAGGTATGTCAGTATATCTATTATAGCTCACGACAAGTCACCAAAATATGACTATATCTATTATAGCTCACAACAAGTCACCAAAAACATCCCAGGTATGTCAGTACATCTATTATAGCTCAGGATAAGTCACCAAAATATGACTATATCTATTATAGCTCACAACAAGTCACCAACATATGACTACATCATAGTGCACATACCATTAGATAGAAAACTGTCATAATAGGATTATAATTAAATAGTAATAATTAAGAAATTCAAAGGTTGGAATAGTTCATTATGAAATTTCAGGAATGAATGAGTTAATGTATATTATTTACATGTAGTACATCTCTGTTCAGTCTAAACCTTTCCATTGTTTGACAGGGAGTCCTTTCCACCCTAAGATCGTGGACCCAAGGAAGGTGAAGATTTATGGTGGCTGGCAGACCTTGATGGACAGCCAGGAAAGAGTGAAACTGATTGTTGGGGAGGAGAAGCGCCTTGTGTTTGACGTGTCACAGGCAGGTCCAGGTAAGATGTCCCCAGGGTCTCGTGTAATCAGCAGTTAATGGGAAAAGAGATCCAGGTAAGATGTCCCCAGGGGCTCGTGTAATCAGCAGTTAATGGGAAAAGAGGTCCAGGTAAGATGTCCCCAGGGTCTCGTGTAATCAGTTAATGGGAAAATAGATCCAGGTAAGATATCTCCAGGGTCTCGTGTAATCATCAGTTAATGGGAAAATAGATCCAGGTAAGATGTCTCCAGGGTCTCGTGTAATCAGCAGTTAATGGGAAAAGAGGTCCAGGTAAGATATCTCCAGGGTCTCGTGTAATCAGCAGTTAATGGGAAAAGAGATCTACCATTTAAACCAGACAGATAAAAACACATTTCTATGTGGTTTGTCCACAGATTAATTCTGGAGCAAAGCGATGAAGATTTGAGGTTTTGACTTGTAAACATAGAATGATATTTCTACAAGTTTCTATGATAATGAATTTTGTAAGGTAAAAACAAAATTCAAGTTTTTATAAAATATTTGCAAACAATTGCATAAAATGTAGTGGTGCAGTATATATGATATCATTAATTTTGACTTCAATTGTGCAAAATCTCCAAATGATTCAATCAGGAATAGAGTTATGTGTTTTATTAACCTCGGTTAATTGTCGTGTTAAAGTTCTAATGATTGTTGTGTTACAGGCATCTTGAAGGGAGAAGTACAGGGACCATCCTCTTCCCTGCCAGTCATAGTGGACGGTCATACTGTGGGGCAGAATGTCATCTGTTTTACCCCCGAAGAGGAAGGTAAGTACAGGAGGTAGTGGACGGTCATACTGTGGGGCAGAATGTCATCTGTTTTACCCCCGAAGAGGAAGGTAAGTACAGGAGGTAGTGGAC